ACCACCCAGCCAATCTAATAAAAGATTAGCTCCACACCAACAGATTACATATCAACAAGATCAAACTGGGTCCCAACTACAGTATATGTGGAGTACTAGCCTCCATTGTATAATATTACATCAAAATAAGTGACTAAAGCTTGCCTCCACTATCCAAAAAGTAATAGCACCTTAATGTTCAGCAGGAGGCGCAGGGTCAGCTACAATACCCGAGTGTAAAGAAATTTATGGTGAGTATCATTCTAATCACAACTATAATTTAATATACATATATACATATATATATATATATATATGAAGATAGGAACTAATAAATTTATTTTAAAACAAATCAATGAAATGATGAAACGTATACTTAAGCTAGCAATAAACAGCGAGTTTGCTCAATAATATAGCGGTAAAATTAAACGACCAGAGAGATGGTCTTAAATAACAACCTACATGTGAGAATGAATACATGTGTTATATGTGTACAACAGTTTCATATGCTTTTACAACTTAATATTCACCAGGGATTGCATGATTAAGAAATTGTGGACCACAATAACAAAACAACAACGGACCATTAGTTAATGTACTTTGTTCGTATGTGTTTTTTAACTTGATCACTAGCACCAAAAGTTTAATTTTCATTTGGCGCATGTGCAATTAATATTGTCTCAATCGGATCATTTTATTAATAAACCATGCTCTTCAATAGAGACCATCAAGATACAAATTGACATCTTAATTTGTCAATTTCCCTCTCTATGCTATGTGGTCCATGCCACTTAATCATCTATGAAATTACTAGTATATTAGGCTTGCAGAAGAGGATTTTTAGATTTCCATATTTCTTTCATTTGAGATTTATCTTGAAATTAAGTATAAGTAGACTTCGACTCGAGAATAGATATGAAAGTGGAAGGACACGTGAAGTATATGTCTTAAGCTGTTTTATAATGAAACAGAGTGGTTTCAATATACACATCCTCACTATAGATTGGTATCAAGATTGTTCAAAGCTCAATTACTAGCACTAAAGGCCTGTTCACAATATTGAATTTTTGTAAAGATGGTAGAGATTATGACGATGCTAAAAGCATATGTGTACGTGAATTGTCATTTACCCTGAAAATGGATTGTGACACCTCGATATTAAGGGCATGGCTGGCATGAGATATGAGGTAAGTTCACACTCCATGAGCCTTAATTAACTAAGGCTAAGCCAAAGTTTCAATAAATAATAATTTTTTATATATTATATAAAGTTCGTGAATTCTTCAATGTGTGGTAGAAATTTTCACAGAGTCTTTCTTGTAATTTGGACATCTTGAAATTTCTAAAATAGCCAAACCACCGAGCGAATCTAATAAAAGATTATCTCCGCACCAATAGATTACATATCAACAACATCAAACTGGGTCCCAACTACGGTATATGTGGAGCATAAGCTACCATTGTATAATATTACATCAAAATAACTTACTAAAGCTTGCCTCCACTGTCTAAAAAGCAATAGCCTCAATGTTCTACAGGAGGCATAAGGTCAGCTATGATATCTGAGTGCAAAGAAATTTATGGTGAGTATCATTCCAATCACAGCTATAATTTATATATATATATATATATATATATATATGAAGATAGGAACTAATAAATTTATTTTAAAACAAATCAATGAAATGATGAAAACGTATACTTAAGCTAACAATAAACAGCGAGTTTGCTCAATAATATAATGGTAAAATTAAACGACGAGGGAGATGGTCTAAAATATCAATCTACATGTGAGAATGAATACATGTGTTATATGTGTATTCATATGCTTTTACAACTTAATATTCACCAGGGATTGCATGGTTAAGAAATTGTGGGCCACAATAACAGAACAACAATGGACCATTAGTTAATGTACTTTGTTTGTATGTGTTTTTTAACTCGATCACTAGCACCAAAAGTTTAATTTTCATTTGGCGCATGTGAACTTAATATTTTGTCTCAACCCCATTGTTTTATTTATAAACCAAGCTCTTAAATGGAGACCATCAAGATACAAATTGACATCTTAATTTGTCAATTTCCCCATCTATGTTATGTGGTTCATGCCACTTAATCATGTATGAAATTACTAGTATATTGAGCTTGCAGAAGAGGATTTTAAGATTTTCATATTTCTTTCATTTGAGATTTATCTTGAAATTAAGTATAAGTGGACTTTGACTTGAGAATAGATATGAAAGTGGAAGGACACGTAAAGTATATGTCTTAAGCTGTTTTATAATGAAACAGAGTGGTTTCAATATACACATCCTCACTATATATTGGTATCAAGATGGTTCAGAGCCCAATTACTAGCACCAAAGGCCTATTCACAATATTGAATTTTTGTGAAGATGGTAGAGAATATGACGATGCTAAAAGCATACATGTATGTGAATTGTCATTTACCCTGCAAATGCATTGTCACACCTCGATACTAACAGCATTGCTGGCACGAGATATGTTGTCCTTGCCACTAAATCATATATGAAATTACTAGTATATTGGGCTTGTAAAAGAGGATTTTAATATTTTCATATTTCTTTCATTTGAGATTTATCTTGAAATTAAGTATAAGTGGACTTCGACTCAAGAATAGATATGAAAATGGAAGGATACGTAAAGTATATGTCTTGAGATTTTTTTTTATAATGAAACATAATGGTTTCAATGTACACCTCCTCACTATATATTGGTATCAAGATGATTCAGAGCCCAATTATTAGCATCAAAGGCCTATTCACAATATGGAGTTTTTGTGAAGATGGTAGAGAATATGGCGATGCTAAAAGCATATGTGTATGTGAATTGTCATTTACGCTGCAAATGCATTGTCACATCTCGATACTATGGGCATGGCTGGCACAGGATATGAGGTAAGTTCACACTCTATAAACCTTAATTAACCAAGATTAAGCCAAAATATCAATAAATAATAATTTTTTATATATTATATAAAGTTCATGAATTCTTCAATGTGTGGTAGAAATTTTGGCAGGGTCTTCCCTGTAATTTGAATATCTCGAAATTTCTACAATAGCTAAACCACTCAGCCTATCCAATAAAAGATATTAGCTCCACATGAATAGATTACATATCAACAAGATAAAACTAAGTCCCAACTACGGCATATGTGGAGTACTAGCTACCATTGTATAATATTACATCAAAATAAGTGACAAAAACTTGCCTCCACTGTCCAAAAAACAATAGCACCTCAATGTTCAGCAAGAGGCACAGGTCAGCTACGATATTCGAGTGCAAAGAAATTTATGGTGAGTATCATTCCAATCACAGCTATAATTTAAATATATATATATATATATATATATATGAATATAGGAACTAATAAATTTATTTTTTAAAAAAATCAATGAAATGATGAAATGTATACTTAAGCTAACAATAAATAGCGTGTTTGCTCAATAATATAATGGTAAAATTAAACAATAACCCAAGAGGTAGTCTAAAATATCAACCTGCAAGTAAGAATGAATAAATGTGTTATATGTGTACAACAGTTTCATACGCTTTTACAACTTCATATTCACTAAGGATTGCATAGTTAAAAAATTGTGGACCACAATAACAAAACAACAATAGACCATTAGTTAATGTACTTTGTTCATATATGCTTTTTAAAATAACTGCAAGAGTTTAAAACAATATAATTAACAAAATATTGAACACTTGAAATAGTACATGAAATATACTTAAGCAAAATAATGTTTTAATAAAAAGAAAGTTGTTAGTAAATTTATTGAAATGTTATCCACTTACCTATCATAGTCTCAAATTCAAATATTTACTTCTTCCAACTCCTAAAAATATTTATCTTCTTCTCAACATCCTATGTAAAATATATAAAGAATTGATTAATGGCCTTTACTCATATCACACAAATTTCCTCCCAAAGTCACTACAACATAATCAACTATATTTCAAATCATACCATGTATGCCTTAGCTTCTTCGATCCCTCAACAATTGTATGAATTACTTTCCGTCCAAATAACTTGATTATACTTTAATTTGCTTTCCTAACATCCATTAAAAAAAATTGTCTTATAATAATTATTTTAATCAATCAACAATGTATCCACCATGTCTATATGTCAAACTCACATTTAGACATTTTATCAAATACCTTGCAGGCATGCATTAATCCTCAAATTAATATCAAGCTTTTCTCTATTCAATTTCCTTCCTTCAATCTCTATTACACTTCATGTATTTTTTTTTTAATTCAACACTTCGTTTCTATCCAACTCTTCTCAAGTGCTTATGCAACTAAACTTGTAAATATTTACACACAACACCTTTAATCACTATAAAATTTCAAAGGTCTTCTATCACCCATTTTATTGAACACGGTAAGTGGATTCCCAAAATCAAGTCTTAAAACAATATTATCACTCATAATCATTAATCATGTGATTCCCCATAATTCAATTATCCCACAATAATCAAAATTTTTCATAAAGTTCAAGTTAAATCCATAAATAATTAACACCCAAACTAAATATATCCTCGTAAAAGTTAATAAAATTTCAGAAAATTCATTACCAAGTTCGACCCTTTCTAATGGGTACTTCCTCAAACCTCTTGTTGATATAAATATTTAAATTTAATTCTAAACCTTCTCTGCAAATCACATTACCACAATTCCCAACATCAACACTTAAATTCATCAAACTTCTTAATTATTATTCTTTATATATATATATATATATATATATGTATGTATATTTTCATACAACCCAGTCTCAAAGAATAAATCAAACTCCCATCCAACTTTATCAATAGCACCAACAATGATTGAATACCTTATCAATTTGAGTCAATTCAGTTTACTAATTTTTTTCCCCACAGACCTACAGTAGCCAAGGAAGGAGAGGAATGAAAAATTTGAACCTTATTCACCAATACATATGTGCACAGAATCAAACCAACGAGAGGAGAGAGGTGAGATTCACTCACCTAAGGAGCAAAGAGGGATGAAAGAAGAGGATCAAGCTTCCATGGCTATCTATGAGCACTGCCACGAAGTAGAGACAGAGAGGGCACGGATCGACAGCAACACAGAAACGGAAGGAGTCTCTGACCTCGGTGAAGTTCCTTACCGCGGTAAACGATGGCGACTCTAGCATTGACGGAAGCTCCAGCAGCGACAGTGACGGACGAATGAACTAAACAGCAGCTAGCAAGGGCGAACGATTGACTGCACGAAACAGGGGAGAGGAAGGAATCGCGATCTGGACCTCTCAGCAGCGGCGGAGGACGTGCTTGCTCACAGCCACGCCGGCGATGTTGAAGACGGTGGATGACGGCGGAGATCGAACAAAGAAGGTGAGGATTCCGGCTCTCCCTCACACTCTTTCCAGATTGTTCCAAACTCGAGAGGCAAGAAGAAAATGAACAATATGTGCGTGCGTTTCGGCTTTTCCAAGGGTAATACGGTAATTTTGACTTGGCAGAAGCGTGAAATCCTCTTCTTTGTGCGTCAAAGATTCGAACTCAATACCTATGTTCAAAAGTCCAAAGTTATTGCCACCAAGTCCCCTATTTACTCTTAATTAAATATTCCAAATTATATTTGGACAAATATTTAAATCACGTTAACATATATTTTAAAATTTTAATTTTTTTTTAGGCCATTACATTAAAATTCTGTGCATGTTCAAATATCAGTGTCGGTGATATTAGTATCTGTGCATGTAGAAATCCTCTCAGTAGTATCAGTAATATTCGGAACATGTACAAATATTTGAGACCAACTTGCTTCACTTAACCTCCATCAACTACCGATTAACGGCAGAGGCAATCATATTGGTTGAGTGTTTTAACGAGAATAACGTATTAAAATTGAGTTTAAGAAAGTATAGTTCAAAAATAAAAATAAACTTTAACCCTAAAAAAAATATTAGTTCTTCTCCATTAATTCTTGAATATGGAATGGTTGACATAGATAAAAAATAAATGAAAGCTTTAATTAAATAAACTTAAAAACAGTTTAAATGAGAAATTTTAAAACACACAACCACTCGTTTTTATTTATTTAAATTGCTGGTGCTTCATGCATAGCCAGCATATGATACAACATCATCAAGGACATCAAAGCAGAGGATTACATTTCCATTTATTTATTTAGCACACTTATTTTTTTTTTAATTAAAGTGCCGATAATGGCAACAACCCCATAATATAATTATTTAATATGCTATCAGAATAGCATTTCCACATCAGATCCAATAAGTGGCTGAACGAGTGAAGAATCCTTTCTTCACTTTCTTTGCGCTCTTTCCATGACGACGAATTTTTTCTTCGTAGAGAATTTGAGCCAGCCTACATGAGTAAAAACATACGTAAAATCGTTATATATTGTAAACACAGTAAAAACATAAAAAATGTTCTTTCTTTCTTTCTTTTTTAAGGTACGACACTACCTTTATTTAACAAAATAAAAATATAGTATTTATCAATATATTTCAATAAATATCAAAAATCAATAATGAATGTTTGATACTCCCTCCATTAAAAAATATAAGACATTTTTAGTCTTTTGAGATGTAATCATAGTCTTTTTTAAAAAAAAATACCCCTGTTGAGAGTGACTTTTTATTTATTATAATGTGTTTAAAAGAGGTAAATATAAAAAGATATGATTAGTTTGAAAGTAGGTAACTACTTTATTGGAGGTAAGATTCGATTAAAAATATCTTAGATTTTTTAACAAAGGGAGTATATAACAATATTAGTAATGATTATAGAATTTATAGCGAACTATACTAATGTCAATAATACATAATACGGGTCAAAAATCAAACACCGTATATAAGACACGTTTATTAGTAAACATAACCAGTTTTCCATGAAAAGGCTAAATCTTTCAAACTTAAAATAAAAAATTGTATATGATCCATTAACTCTACATAAAATTTCATTTTAGTCCTTTAACAATTATTTTCACACAAAAAAAATATCATCATTTTAGACTAATAATGTTAGGGTTAAAGGGCTAACTATACCTTATAAAATTAATAGATCAATCCTGATATAAAGTTACAGGACCAAATGTATACTTTATGCCAAATTAAAAAAAAAAAACAATAACAACTATTTGCATATTACATAGTACCTGTCCAGAGCTTCAGCATTGGTACCTTCACCAATTTCCTCAGGAACAAAAGTATCCACATTCATCCTCTTTACTGGTTGATCCAACAACTTATTTCCCACGTCTTCGAGTTTATCCATATTTGCTTCTGAAGCATCATCCGATTCAATACTCGGATCTAAATTGTATTCCTGCCCATCAAATATTATTGTTAGATATACATAAATATATATATACTCATTCGAGTCCCTATTATAATATGCTTTTGAATAACTTTCAGAAACCAAAGAATGACAGTTAATTCATTAAATATGTCTTAAGATGATTTTTTTTTTTTTGAACTTTGCCCATGCTAAAAATAGGAAGAGAGAGATACACAACATAAGAGAAGCCATAAAATTAAATGCAAAACACGGCTAAAATTGAAAAATGTTTATAAATAACCCTCCAAATTCCTTATATCAAGGATGCAATAATATTTCCAAAAGATGCTCTATAATAGGGACTGGAGGAATTTGATATAGCAATTAATATAAGATTAGCTGTTGGAATATTAGAATGGATTAGTGTGACTAGTGTTAATCACATTAGTTAGTTGGTCACCCTAAGTTCTGTATAAAGGGTGCCACAAAATGTTAGGGGTTAGGGGTTGAACCGCCTCATAGTTTGGGGTTGTATTGTCATCCTTAGATTAAGGGATGAATTGTTGCAGTTAATCCTTCAAGTGAAGGGTTATGTTGTTGGAATGTATAATCATAATGAAGAATGTATTCATTTTTCTTCTCTTTGTAACCTTAACATTAACCATTAATTATGAGGAAGGAGTTTAATTAATTAATTAACACATACATACCTGAATTCGAAGGTAGTTTTCCTGAGGTTGAAGTTTGAAAGTTGAGTTAATGTAATATTCATTCATGGTTGAAGATGCAGCAATAAACATGGGTAAGATGGCTTCCTTCCAATCTCCGGCAGTCCAAATACGATTAGCATCATAACTGACGGTTGTGTTTCCAACTCCAGTTCCTATTGATAGCAAAATGATTTCTTTGTTCTTGTATTCTTCTTGTCGGGACACCTCACTGATCCCAAGCCTTGCCTGAAATAATATATATATTACAGTTAAAATAATACTCAACTATATTGATTATATGAACCCTAAAAACTGGCCTGAAAATTACCGGCATACTTGCGATGAAAAGACCATCAACGAGATTGAATTCAGTATTATTGTACTCGAAATAATAGGGTGGAAACTCGTTTGGTGCTGCTGAGGTTCCTATACATGCATCGGAGAGTTTGACATTTAAGTGAGGAACATCCTTTATCTGCATCATATATGTATAATTTAGTGGCTTGTCTTTCGTTGGATTCAGTTAATTCATTAATTATCGAAACATATATATTATGATAAACCTTGAAGCTTGAGAATATAGTTGGCTGCAGAAGCTTGATGTCGAAGGAAGAAATCACAACATTTGTGGTTGTCTGGTTTAGGAGCGTTTCATCCAATTTCTCGGCCGCTATTCTTCGTAAATACGTCCCGTTGAACTTCGGGCACAGGACACCAGGCCATCGGCTGTTGACAAGAAATAAATATATCATCATTTTAACGATGTTTTCAACATGTATCATCTTGCGAAGGACCTTCTCCCACACTCTATAAAAATTATTTTTCACTGCAAACTATGATTGGGCCGAGTAAAAGAGATTTAATTCCCCTTAAACAAGTCAAAGGTCCAAACTTTAAGGAAGGGAAAAATCATGTTAAAAAAGATACTTTTAATTGGCTAATCCAATGCTCGAATCTAACCCACTAATATAAGATCTCAAACTAATATAAAACAAACCTGCACATACCAGCCCGAGTCTTCTTGGAAGATGAAAGGACCATGTTGTCTGTAGAACTTGAGAATTTCATCAGCAGGATAGAGAGGACGATCCTTGTTTTGAGGGTCAGGGGCAGTGAGAATTGCAGTTATAATCCCTCCAGTGCTGGTCCCAGCAACCACATCAAAATATTCTGCTATTCTTGCACTTGGGTCCCTTATCTGAATTTCACTCAAATTCAGATGTTGTTATTGTTTTTTCTATATTAATTATAGATGTCTAGATAATAAGGGCTTTTGTAAATATAGCCCATGTTATAGGATTAAACCAAAAGTGAGCTCAATATTTATTATATTTTGTATTATGACTGGTTTATTATATTGGTTAATGATATACCATTATATATTAATGATAAATCCCTTGTAAATTTTTAATTTTTAATGATAAAGTACTTATATAGCAATGATAAATTTCTTGTATATTAATGATAAATTTCTTATATATCAATATAGGTCAGCTATATTCACAATATTTTTTTCAGCCAATGGGCCAATTTATCCTAGATAATATTAGACGTTTATATTATTACAATAAAATTTAATAAATTAAAGGCTAAAGTATCCCTTTAATCTTTTAACTTTACTCAAGATTTTATTTTGGTTCCTTAATTTTATAAAATGTATTTTCAATCATTTAACCCTAACACCATTATTTCATCTCAAAAAATGTTTACATTGAACTTTTAAATATTGTAAAAAAATTTCAAATATTGATATATTAAGTTTAAATTTTTTAAAATAACAATGATTGGTACAAAAAAAATCATTTGAAAATAATGATGTTAAGGTTAAAAGACTATAACAATACTTTATAAAATTAAAGGATCAAATTAAACTTTATATAAAGTTAGACAATCAAAAATATACTTCAGTCTATATTAAATAATTGTCTATGTATAGATGAACCAATACAAATTAAAGTACACAAATACCTGAAGGGCAATTTCAAGCTGCTTAAGGATAACGCCAGGGACAATCCCTTTAATACCTCCTCCATCAATGGCAAGGACTCTGACTTTTTCTGGTTCACTATCTTCCTCAACAATGGCAAATGCAGCCATTAGTTGGTCAGTGAATAGAAAAGTTAATAAAAGGAACACTGCAATTTTTGACATCGTGGAAAAGAGATGGTTGATACTTTTAGGGCTAAGAAACACAGGACTTTGATAAGGCTTTCGATATCTCAAGAGACCAGAGATCAATTTGTAGCTTGAGTGGTCTCGTTGATGGTCAGGATTTAAATAGAAATCTGATCAAGATAAGACAAAATATTAGTTAAGCAATGGCCAAAAGGAATTTTAACATATGCTACGCATGATCGAGTTAAATAACACACGGAAACATAGCATTTAATTTAATAATTCATTTGGGGTCCACAATTTCATAAAATGTACAAATTCAATATTTATTTTCCAATATACTCCTTTAATTTTATTTATAGGGCAAAGAGAGAAGTTTTTTTTTTGGTCCTATTCATAAGTAACGTCAATAAATTTTCATAACAAATTCCCCCTTTTATCCTCCATTAAATATTAGAGAGAGAAAATTTATTATTAAATTATATATATTTAATTAAAAAAAAGTTGAGAACTTATTAAATTTTTAGAAAGAGTTAATAAATTTTAAAGTTTTTCTTAATTTTAATAGAATATATATGTTGAAAGTGACTTATAAATAAGCTAAGATAAATAATCATTTTCTTTTGTCTTCGCTGATGAGTAGGGCTTCAATAAAAAAAAATTGATCAAGATGAGGCAAAATATTAAGTACAGGCCAAATGGAAATATGACATATGCTATATAATGTCGAGTTAAAGACCGTTTAATTTAATTGTGGGTTGATAAATTTTAATATATGTGAATATCCTATTTCATATGTACTAAATTTGGCACCAACAGTATGTAATCCAAACAATAATTAAGGGTGGCAAAAAATATTTTTATATTTTGCATTTTTTAATGATATAAAGTTTTAAGGTGCTAAAAGTGTCAAATACATATGACATGTTACAATAGTGTTACAAACTTAGCTTCTTCATGCACCAATGTTTATAAAACTAAACTAGTAGATATTGAACCATCAGTTAATTCATTGGTTCGATGTTCATTGGTTCGACCATGATTGAACCCTAATTTTGAAATAGTGGTAATATATTTTAATTTCATGAATCAAATTTTTGAACAAAATTAAAGAAATATAACAATAACTACAAGCCTTGTCACATTAAGTAGGGTCAGCTATATAAATCCCATCACATTATTTTGCTCTATCAAAAACCAACTCTTGTGATAAATCATTAACCAAAGAGTCTCACTCAATAACTTCCTAAAGTGTTCTTCTTGTTTTTCTTTACTGCTCTTCACTGGACTTAAGATCATCTAATCAACTCTCCTCTCTAGCGCCTCTCTTGATCTTCTCTGTTTTCCTCATATATGGTCGTTATCCAAATCCTTTTGGTTTTTTTTTTTTTTTACCATATATCCATATCACCATCCTCATCTACGTTACCTTAACTTTTGTTCACGTTTTCCCTTTACTAACCAACATTTATTACCATATAGAATTACTGGTCATATAGCCAGTCAATAAACTTCCCATTCAACTTATTTGATATCTTCCCTAACACCCAAAACCCCTTGATACCATTTTCCAATTTAATCATCTAACTTGTATTTTATGTGTGACAATATCCCCATCAATTTTCTCATCATTTTGTATGATTGATCCCAAATACTTGTGTTGAGATTATGACTCTAATCTTTATAATCCTTTGTGATTATTTTTATATATTATCTTGGTATAAATTTATCATATCTCTATTTTATATTTTAGAAGATATTTATTATTATCTAAAATAATATTTTTAGTTGATGAGAAGCTTTATATATATATATATATATCTTGTCTCTCCATCTCCCATTGTAGAGAAAATTATTATAATTCTCATTTTTTATGGTGAAATTACTCGCTCATTGCCCATGATTTTTTTCCCCTCAAATTGGGGGTTTTTTCACTTTATATTTTTTGTGTCATCTTTTATCATTTTTTCTATTTTCTCCGTAATTTTCAATCATTTTATCTTGTTTACTTCTGTTGATTATTTGTGCACTTCCTAGCAACTTGGATTTTGTCACTTATGGTTTGATTTGATCTCAATTTTTTCTCACTTCTACTTAGATAAAAACCCTTTGATTCCAAAGTCCTTCTCCATAGCATGTTTAGAATTCCTTTTCTAAATCTACAACAAGTTATATCATTTGTGAAAAACATGTACTTGGGGATTTGCTTTTGGATGTGACCAATTAGAACATCTAAAACCAAGTTAAAACAATTAAGTGATCAAGAATGATCCCTGATAAAAACCAATTCATGTAGGGAAGTCCTTTGATTAACCTACTGACCTTTACCCACATTCCCTAGTAAATTAGAAAGTTTATTTCTTTTTTAGAAATTATCAATTATTTAACTATTCAATAGGTTGTAGTTAAAAATGACTTATATATGTTGGCTATTATAAAATATTTGAGTATTTCAAAAGGAATTATCATAAATTAATAATATTAATTATTATTTAAGTCTATCTATTATTTTGTAACATATATGAATTTAAAAAGCATTATTATTTGAAACCATTTTTTTAATTGTGATTAAGGTGGTTTTATTGCCCTGTAATATGAGATTTATCTATAAAAGGCAGTGCTTGCCACAGGTTCAAATAGAGCCTTGGTACTCTCGATCTTTCTCTCCTCTTCTATCATATTGATTCGCTGTGCTATTACCTGAGTTTATTCTGTGAATTTATATTGTTCTATGTCTATGTTTTTAGTAGGAAGAGTCTGTTTAATCATAAGGAGTTACCGAGCAATCAATCTGATGTAGTGGAATAGCTTTTAAGAACAATGTCTTAGAACACAATTCAGACTATGATTTTACCTATTAGTGCTAATAATATATAGAACTAGAAGGAGTATTTATCAAACATTGGCCTTTAATTATTTATCTTGTTTCATCTAATTATTCTCTTTTTGTAATATTTTCATCATTTCAGGTCATTCCCATTCTTCTTTCTAATTCTTGCCATCTCATCCTCTCCTTTTAACCCCTTAATTACAAATAATGTTGCAACATTGCGACCCACCATTGCATAATTGAAAGATGTATGTGTGCGCGCGCAATTATCTATAAAGTAAAGAGAAATCAAATTCAAGACAATTACATAAAGAAGTAGAAACTAGAAAATAATTAATAAAATGAGTAAAGGAGAAAATGTCTCATTCTCAAGATTCTCTAATAAGTGGTGATTATATGTTATTTTTAGACTCTTTGAATAAATGCAGGGATCCATGGAGTAGTTTTGTACTTTATCTTAAATGCAATTTTAAAAAGAAGTACTTGCATGACAACAAGAGTTAAATAATATCCGTTATAGTTTAGTTCTTTATGTTAAATGCAGTTTTATAAAGGACATGTATGACAACAAGAGTAAAATAATGACCACTTGATCATTATTTTCCGAATTTTCTAGTGAGTACAAACAGAAGAAATGAAGTTGATGAGGCTTATTCCATTAATGAAATGGTTTAGTGCAACTTTGTGGTGGTCCTTAAGTAACGACCCCCATTTGTTCATCTTGTTGCAATTCATATTCTAGTCACTAGTTAATAATATGACATTTGCGTATTAAAATACAAATTATTCTATGTTTTATTATTTTTTATTATAAGAAAAATTATAAATTTCAAGAAGCGTTATTTACGTTTTTTTCATATTGTCTTTCATAAGTAGATAGCTAGTATTATTAAATTAGAGAGGAAAAAAAGTAAACATTAATTACAAGGATATTTTAATTCAAACATTTTAATTTCCAACATAAGTATTAGAATTAATTAACTTTTCAAACTATAGGAGTTGGTTGAAATTCTCATTTGTACCCTCCATTCCAAATTATAAAACACTTGTAAGATAAATTTGACGTTTTAAAATATAAGACATCTTGAAAAAAAAAAGTTTTATTAATAATATTTTTTCAATATATTTAATAATATTTTTTAATATTATCATTTTCATATATTCTCTCTTTGTAACACTCTTTCACAAATGAAGTATTAAATAAAGGACATATTTTAAATGTTTTATATTTTTATTTTAAAAAATAAAATTATAAAATATATTTAATGAACTTTACAGACAATTGTGACTTTGTCAAAGAATATGTTATAAATTAGAATGGAGGGAGTGTTTGAAAACAGGGGGAATATGTTGTGGGAAGCCAATTTATGGTATTTAACTCATACTCCTCCCATCCTATAGTTATAGGTCAAAATTAAGTAGCTTCGCTTTTAGAAACGGTAATTAATATCCTTAAATTTGTAGAAAAAATATTTGATTTTCAATATTAACAATTATAGTTTAGCCTTTTAGGTTCGTTTGAATTGTTTACTGCAACTTGTTTATATGCTGAGGCAATATCTATGGGGTATATGTTTCGCATGTTGATATTAAAATGATAACACGTCTTTTTCACGTTGGCCGGCCAAATAAATAAATAAACAAAAACTCTCGTTCACGTGATGCAACATCATAAATAATTTTTTGGGTACCTCATTAATTTGCATCTATATGTGGAAATGACATAGGCTTGTGCTTTTTTGGCCAACCAGATCGACTTATTAATATCGCAATAGTTAAGTATTATCTTTTTTCAATTTAATCACATTCAAGGGCAATTTAAAACCTAAATTTGCATCTAGTACATTTTAAATCTTGAATAATTAAATTTAAAAAAATTTCATCCCATCATTAATTTTAAATTTGAAAAAATTATAAAAATTTCATAAAAAAAATTAATTATTATAAAATTTATTAACAATTGAAGTAAATTATATTTATAATTGATTATTATAAAATTTATTAATAATTGAACTAAATTATATTGATAATTGAAACTTAGATGTAATTCTCCTTTAAATTAACACTGTTACTTTGCACAGAGTGGGGCCCATCTTTTTCTTTGTTTACTTTATCTCCTCGTGTCCTCCCTCCTCCCCCGTGTCTCTAACGCCCTTTGCCTTCTCCTCACTCCTCCTCCTCCTCCTCTCTCTCTACTCGCCGTGTCTTGATTTCTCTCTACGCCTTCTCCTTGTATCTACATAGAGCATATCTACATATTTTAGATCAAGATCATTAGCTTA